AACTCGGGAAAAAACCAGAACCGTAATTTCCTCGATTCACATTACGTCAAATAAGCATGAATGACAAAGGCAGTATCCTTTCTCATACGCTAGAGAAAATCTCGGAAAACGTAAGGCAATTTCTCCTTTTTCATTTTATTTCACTTCCGTTTTTGAGTACTTTTACCATTTTTCTATTTTTTTTCCATTTTTTCCATTTTTGTCCTTTTTTTTCCATTTTTTCAATTTTTTTCCAATTTTACTATGAAAAGGTTCCCATTGATATTATTCCACCCGTTTTGAACAACAACAACAACACTCACGTATCGCATCCGACATTCCTCGTACACTGCCCGATTCCAATTTCAATTTCCATCTGAAATCCAAAAAAAATGGTTAACGTTTTCTTTTCAGTTTTAATATGGCTTTTCACAAGCTAGCTCTACCCTTACTCACTGAAATTTCTCACGATTTAAATCACGTTGTGTCAATGTATTCATATAGCTACAGCGAAATTTCCACAAATTGGTAAAAGGTCATTCATCGCGAATACATTTTCATATCGTATCTCACCTCTAACGACAGCTACGTGTTATGTTTATCTACTACTTCAATAACATATTCAAACTAATTCATATCAGCGCAAGTGAGTACTACTCTAAAAATTAATATAAACATAATTATGAAACCAAATTGGAAACTACGTGTCTTCAGTTGATTCGTAGCGATTAACAGAGTTTCACGGGCGGCCCTAGTGATATGCAAAAAAAACTAGTGAAAAATATATTTCACGACTACTGCATAGTGCGAATATCGCGTTTTTCACCGAGTTTTACGCCATTCCACATGAAACGGGTAAAACTCCATTGTTATCTATATTATTATCATCTGGTCATTTCGTGATTGGGTATTTAATTATATTATATTTATCGGAGTTTCACCCTAGTGATATGAAAAATATATTTCACGACTACTGCATATCACCGCGAATAATATCGCGTTTTACGCCACTTCACGTAAAACGGGTTGTGAAACTCCATTATTATCTAATCAAAACGTTATTGATTATTAACTGTATTTATTGGAGTTTCACGGGCGGCCCTAGTGATATGAAAAACACTAGTGAAAAGTTTATTTCACGACTACTACATATCGCGTTTTTCACGACTGGAGTTTTACGCCACATCATGTAAAACGTGTGAAACTCCACTACACATACACCCCTCAGCTTACTTAGCCGTAGTATAGACTATCATTGCTGGGAGTACCATTCGAACAGGCATCACCAACAGCCATTTCGTCAGCAAGCCTTGAAACGACCGCTCGCGCAGAACTGAATTGTTGTGCATGCGTGCAAATTAACTTTATAAAAATTTCAAAGAATTTTTTTTGGTAATTTTTTCGTTAATTTCTGAACACTTCTACCCGAATTCGTATGTAAACTCCTATAATGGGTGAGCGAGCAGCTGAGCTCAACTAAAGAAAGCGAACATATATTCCTCCAAAAACGCTGACAAACTTTTCCGCCGAAAATCTCACCTCGACTGATTCTCCGAATAAATAAAACTCCTAATGCTACGAATATTGCCGATTTGATCTTTCTACCTGAGGCATTTACAAATCGATCAGAATGGCGCGCGCTTTTTACACGAGATGAAAACTCACCTTCTAATATTGACTGCATACAGTACCCTCCAAGAAATTTAGTAAAAAGTCGTCAACTACCAGGAAAGAATCGCAAAAAGATTACACCTCCCAGAAAAAAAATGAAAATTCCGAAAAGTGGAAATTTTCAAGTGCGTAGTCACAAAAAAATTTACAATTTTCGAGTTGGTCGAGTCCGTCGGTCAGTAGTGCCTCCGCTAGCACTGGTGTTTTTCTCCTGAGCCTTTATATTGATTAACATAGATACGCTCGATCTCAGTTTCACAACCGTAAACTCGTCTATTGTTGTTAATATGGAGTGTGGGGGAAATATGCACATGGTCAACTACATGTGTTGATGATGACAATATGAAAATTCTGAGAGGAAATTTCGATTCCCGAATTCGCATATAAACTTGTATAATTAGCTTTGTAAACTCCTGAGCTCAGCAGCTGAGGAAAGCGATTACATATATTCCTACTCCAACACTGTATAGGAAACTCCTGAGCTCAGCAGCTGAGGAAAGCGATTACATATATTCCTACTCCAACACTGTATAGGAAACTCCTGAGCTCAGTAGCTGAGGAACGCGATTACATATATTCCTACTCCAACACTGTATAGGAAACTCCTGAGCTCAGTAGCTGAGGAAAGCGATTACATATATTCCTACTCCAACACTGTATAGGAAACTCCTGAGCTCAGTAGCTGAGGAAAGCGATTACATATATTCCTACTCCAACACTGTATAGGAAACTCCTGAGCCCAGCAGTTGAAGAAAGCGATCATATATTCCTACTCCAACACTGTATAGGAAACTCCTGAGCTCAGTAGCTGAGGAAAGCGATCATATATTCCTACTCCAACACTGTATAGGAAACTCCTGAGCTCAGCTGAGGAAAGCGAACATATATTCCTACTCCAACACTGTATAGGAAACTCCTGAGCCCAGCAGTTGAGGAAAGCGATCATATATTCCTACTCCAACACTGTATAGGAAACTCCTGAGCTCAGCAGCTGAGGAAAGCGAACATATATTCCTACTCCAACACTGTATAGGAAACTCCTGAGCCCAGCAGTTGAGGAAAGCGATCATATATTCCTACTCCAACACTGTATAGGAAACTCCTGAGCTCAGTAGCTGAGGAAAGCGATTACATATATTCCTACTCCAACACTGTATAGGAAACTCCTGAGCTCAGCAGCTGAGGAAAGCGATTACATATATTCCTACTCCAACACTGTATAGGAAACTCCTGAGCTCAGCAGCTGAGGAAAGCGATTACATATATTCCTACTCCAACACTGTATAGGAAACTCCTGAGCTCAGCAGGTGAGGAAAGCGATTACATATATTCCTACTCCAACACTGTATAGGAAACTCCTGAGCTCAGTAGCTGAGGAAAGCGCACATATATTCCTACTCCAACACTGCATAGGCAACTCCTGAGCTCAGCTGAGAAAAGCGATTACATATATTCCTACTCCAACACTGTATAGGAAACTCCTGAGCTCAGTAGCTGAGGAAAGCGCACATATATTCCTACTCCAACACTGTATAGGAAACTCCTGAGCTCAGCTGAGGAAAGCGATTACATATATTCCTACTCCAACACTATATAGGAACTCCTGAGCTCAGCTGAGAAAAGCGATTACATATATTCCTACTCCAACACTGTATAGGAAACTCCTGAGCTCAGCAGCTGAGGAAAGCGATTACATATATTCCTACTCCAACACTGTATAGGAAACTCCTGAGCTCAGTAGCTGAGGAAAGCGATTACATATATTCCTACTCCAATACTGCACGAAGAGTAACGCGATCAATTGAATTCGTGCAGCAGTTTTCACTATCCACATTGGTACAGCTTCAACGGCTGTTTCTACCATAATTTCAACTTTCTCAGGAGCGAATTCAGAGCTCAGAATCATTTCCAAAAACGCTTCTCACACGTATAACACGATACTCCGTCAATGCTAAACTCCAGATTCCATTCAATGGAGTTTCACCCTAGTGATATGAAAAATATATTTCACGACTACTGCATATCACCGCGAATAATATCGCGTTTTACGCCACTTCACGTAAAACGAGTTGTGAAACTCCAATGAGCATCGGGTCAAACTCGGGAAAGCATCCACCTATTGCCCGAGCGGGTCCTAGATTAACCCAAATATACATTCTCAGTTATCAATACTCATCATGGACCCAGCTCTCGAGTAGTGAACTTAACGTCCATTAGAAAATAACGAAGACTAGCGAGTGCATGGAAACACTGGAGTTTCACAATCGTGATATGAAAAACGTATTTCACGACTACTGCATATCACCGCGAATAATATCGCGTTTTTCACCACTTCACGTAAAACGGGTTGTGAAACTCCACTGAAATAACGTCTATTGATGACGATGTAATAACTCTGCTGTTATAGCTCAATAAAACCACAATCCTTATTCTTACAAAAACAACTACGTACTCACGTGAATATCGATCATGCTCTGTGCTATACTGTGATCACAGCCGTTGAACTCAATATGTAGGGAAGAGGGTTGAAGCGTCAGTTAGGAATAAGGCTAATGAATGCTGAAATGATTACAGATTGATACTATCACTAATCAAAACAATAAAGAGATAGACCCCACGTTCATTGTATTAATTCTGGAATTCAGAACCGATTTTAGCATTCTATTATACGGGTAGTAAACGATTCCGAAATCGGTTTCTTGAACGACCACAGATATCTTCAGAGAGCGGATCCTGATGCAACAGCTGAGTCAGAGTATTTACTCAGATGAAAAAATCAGGTGGTGAGTAATAAAACCTGATTCACTGATTTTTTACTCTGGAGCGAGAAATCAGGATCATCGCGAGGATATGTGGATCTCTGAACTGACTCGAAAATCTAAAGTTGATTTTTTGGCCGAGTGATACTCTTACTCAATATGCCTTGCTCATGAGGCTGATTTTTTGGGTTAACCGCTACGGGTTACTGACAGTTACATCATCTTAAAAACTGCCATTGGGCCTGTTCCACAAGGATACTTAATTTAAGGCGCCTTAAATATAGGAGCAACTTAAGGAGCTACTTAAGGCATACTCAAGAAGTACTCAACTCATTTCACAACGTTTAGGAGCAACTTAAGGAGCTCCTTAACTTAAGGCGTACTTAAGGCGTTACTTAAGTTTAAGGCGCAGTTTGCTCCTATGAAACAGGCCCATTAACAAATTCCTCGTAATGCCAGGCTGCTCACTTGTTATCGTGAGCACTCCTGAATGCATGATGTTTATTCGTTTGGTTGGTTAAGGCTGCTGCTGATGGTCAACGTTTCACTTGTGACTCGTATAATCTACCGTAATGTCAAACGTGTATAATTCTGTTTCCAAAAAAAGCACTCCTGATTCACCTTGCGCAGGAAAACAAATGCACAAATTAAAGTGCCTTAATTTAAATTTCGAAAGTAAAGTTACTAAACGAGAATCTTTGACCATACCTTTCGACCACTTCTACAAATTGAAGTTATAATTCTGCAAAAACAGGAGTTGAAAAAGTGCTATGTTGTTTTCATATTTTCAGTGGGTGAAACTCCACTGGAAATGCGGAAGTCATAAACTTAACAACCGATAGATAGCGTCTGTGTAAAAAACGAACAGATTTCGCCCGTACACCCAAACTGTTGAGAGTATACGACTGACTCTATAGAGAGTGTTCAACACACATAAGATGTGTAGAGAATCTATACCAGAACTTTGGTCTGCGTGCGAAAGTAGTGTACCAAAATCGATATCTCACTGCTATAACTAATAAGCCAACTCGACTCCAGCTCTTGTAGTATACCAGCTAACTTAGTGATACGGTAGTGGCACTAGCCCGTTGTAGGGTATTTAGTTACTGTCGATCGATACCACAAATATAAGACGGAGGTAAGTCAAGACAGTTAAGCCGAAGGTCGATAGAACCGATCTTCTAACCGAACCGAACGAAGATAAATAAACAAAGAAGAAGAAGAACTGAGATAACTCAGATAATGATAGAACTATAGCACAGTTATACTCGATCGATCAGACTCTTGATAACACGGGGTGAAGCCGCTGGAAGAAGCCTTGCACGCAAACTCATCTTCATGAACGCAAACTCATATTCACGCACCCAGGCCCGGTCCAGCACAGTAGCACACAGACGCACAGAGAGTGATGTTTGTTGATAAGTATTCATAGTTGGCTTGCTCTCTTGCTCTTCTTTGTATAATCTATAGCTGACACCATAACAGACTTTGTAGCTGTACAACAGGAGCTGTATATACCCTATCGTCAGCAGCTCATCTAAATCTTGCGTTTCCCTAGTCCTTCAAGAGAACATCTGCATTGCAACGTGTGTTGTGGGTCCAGTTTGCCTGCACCCTTGTTATCTCATCAAACCTTCGCCTTCCTCA